TCTTCCTCGCTTTTCTCCCGTTTGCTGGGCTTAGTCTTAGTATCACCTACCATCGTCCATGTTTTTAATGTCCCCTCCCACCCCCAGACATGAGCGCTAAGATTCGATTCCGACATAGCGAGGTAATTAGGTTAGGTGAGAAAACGAAGCAAACAGCAACCAACTTTCAGGAGTTTCTGTGATAACGGAATCACTCTCTGGTTCCGGTGCAGGTGGTGCTGAGACAGATGGAGGATCTTGGATTGAGTTCTCTACAGAGTCCATCGATTCCATGGACATGTTACTGTCCTCAAACACAACGGGATTTTCTGAAGATGGCGGCTGCATACCTAAACTAGTAACCAGATTAAAAAAGGAATGGGTCAGAAAAAGAACACTTCTGTCGCTGAGTACAGTGCAGAACTCGAAGTAAATATCCACCGACGAGATGCTCATAGAGTAAATCTTCGTAATGAGGAACAAAAACAGGTAAAATTCAAATAAGAAAGAATTGAACTCGTTCACATTGGCAAGCGCCCAGCGCACGCAGCGCAGAGCGCTGCGCTAGCAAATGGAGCGCGAAATTGGTTACACGAGATAATTTGGGGAACTGTGAACGGAATTGAGACCTTTTGCTGTCTCACTCTTCTTGTCTGCTTCGTCTCCTGTGTGAAAGGCAGACATTCATTTGGTCCTTGTATGAGAGCCGTATAGCTCACTTGCAAATTTGGATCACCAGCGGTTCTAATTCTTCTTCAGTGTAGGTAGCCGCTCGATGGAAACCATTCAGGTTCAATCAAAGCAACTTTTTATTCATTCTGTGTTGGGGCGAAGTGTGTTAAGAAGTTGGTACTGCAAGTACAGGATGGTGCGCAACTTTTTCGGTAACAGTAGGTCACATTATCCCGAAGATTGACCCAGTGCACTCTATTTCACGCCACCTTGAATATCAATGTCGTGACTGTCATGGCTGCGATTATCTTATGCTTGACGAGGATTGGGTGACCTTTTGCTTATTTTTGGATATGATTTCTCTCGAAGTGTGTCCGTCTCGAGGCTAATCTTTGTCAGTCCCCTGTTCTAAGCATTTCAAGAGAGTATTGCAGCGCGTTACCGTTCAGAGAATCATCGGGCTTGATCTGTTTTCTTTCAGATGATGGATTTAGATTCGCTGGATCTGTCTTTCGCAGACTATTCCTCGCTGGATTTAGACGAAGATTTCCTCAGCAATGTTTATTTTGAAGATTATCAGTGGAGCATCTCTCACCAGGTTTATTTGCTTTTCGTTTTTTTCTTTCGTTACTTTTTTAAAAAGTTTGTTTTCAACGCTCTTACATCTTTTGTCAAGAGAGATAAAGAGACTGAAGTTGAGGAACTATGCTCTTAATGTAGATCCACGTCACTTTATAAATTCCAGTTTGCAGTGCCATACTTCAAACATGAAGCTTGGGGTTTATTGTCTCGCATCAACGGAAGGTCCGAAAATGGCCTTGGAAAATCCCTCATAAGACTACTATGGCCGATGTCATTACTTTTGCGATTGGCGCGATTTACTCCCAATGCAGGCAGCGATGTGCATCGCTCCCAAAATGCGGAGGCGCGGGAGATTACCCGCCTGTGTATCGGTCGTCGGCGGCGGTAAATTCCGGTTCGCTGCGACACTTTGCAGTCGATCCTCGCCCTGTCTCTGCAATTGGGTGGCAAAATCGCGACCAATCGCAAAGTCTGACCATCGGCCAATTTTCATATCGTGTCAACTTTTGGACTCCGGTGGTTTTTTTGTTTATCGCGCGTTTGCGTTTTCTATACTTCTGCCATCGCGGTGCTTAAAAATTGAGCTGTCGAAATGTGCGATGACAGTAACCGGGAACATTGATATGTGGGAGGTTCTTTCTACGGAATTCGATGTGCCTTCAGCAGTGTTTATTTTGAAGATTATCAGTGGAGCATCTCTCACCAGGTTTATTTGCTTTTCGTTTTTTTCTTTCCGCTACTTTTTAAAAAGTTTGTTTTCAACGCTCTTACATTTTGTCAAGATCAAGAGGCTGAAGTTGAGGAAACATGGTTTTGGGGAGAGCTCGCTCAAGTTTATATAATTCCAGTTGCAGTGACTATGCTTCAACATGAAGGTTGGGGTTTATTGTCTCGCATCAACGGAAGGTCCGAAAATGGCCTTGGAAAATCCCTCATAAGACTACTATGGCCGATGTCATTACTTTTGCGATTGGCGCGATTTACTCCCAATGCAGGCAGCGATGTGCATCGCTCCCAAAATGCGGAGGCGCGGGAGATTACCCGCCTGTGTATCGGTCGTCGGCGGCGGTAAATTCCGGTTCGCTGCGACACTTTGCAGTCGATCCTCGCCCTGTCTCTGCAATTGGGTGGCAAAATCGCGACCAATCGCAAAGTCTGACCATCGGCCAATTTTCATATCGTGTCAACTTTTGGACTCCGGTGGTTTTTTTGTTTATCGCGCGTTTGCGTTTTTATACTTCTGCCACGGTCTTGAAAAGTCGGTCGGAAATGTGCAAATGACAATAATCTCGGGAAAATGATATTGGAAGGTTCTTGTCTACGAAATTCCGGTGTGGTTTAGTTCCGAGCTGGTGGAAGAAATCGAAAAATTATAAGTCATTGTCCTGGTTGTCCGTCTAATATCTTCCAGATTTTGATTTTTCGCTTCAATATTATATGTAACATGATTATGCGTTGAGCCTGTTGTTTGTATGACTTTTATTCCATCCACTTTCTATTACAAGCTTATTAGAGATTGGACAATGTGTCTCTGGTTGCCTATCATCTGTCCAATACACCATTGGAAAGTTGCTTCTTGTCACTTTTCTACAACGTCTCGTAACGATGACGAGTGGGTTTTATCATTTCAAATTTCAATCTTTTATTAATCTTGTACCTAATAATTCACTTGAGATTGGTGCCTGAGGTAAGGTGAGAAAGGGGCTTGTTGCTTTGACTCCGTACGCTCCAAGTTTTCACTCGACGAGGTCTACTCATAAGTGAGCCGGTAAATTATGACATATTTGGGAGAATAAAGAGAAAACAACACCACGCGTTTGTGGCAAGCTGAGTGCGAGGTCATAGCGACACTTCCTTTGTGTGCCTTACGTAGCTCGCTTGCTTCAGCTGACCTCGCGTTTTGTAGATTTTCCGACTGTGGTGAAACATATTTCGTGTATCTTCCTCGGCGTTGTAATTCTCCCCGAATGGATTCAGCGGGAAGACTTGAGAGTCGCCATTATCACTGGTGTACCGGTTCTGCTGCTGTTTTTACTGCTGACGCCACTTCCTTCCAAAGGAGCAACAACTTTATGCGCCTGCATCTTGTCGATCGTTAGCATGTGAGGTTTTATACTGGCAGTGTTCAGAACGGGTTATTCCTCTTTTAAACGTCTCACTTTGCAGTTTGAAGAAATATCTCTGACTGTTCTAGGCAATTTATCATCCCTGCGCAAGACTTCTTAGCGATTCGTGGAATTCTTATGATTTTCGCAATGAAAGTGTCGGCACTGGTATTTGATAAAGGATCCATCTGTACGGCAAAGGACATCATTCCAATTTTGGCTTACCTGTTCGGTCCTGCGACTTTAGTCTTTGGCCCTTTTCATACCTTCGATGATTACATGAACTCGTTGAATCGTCGGACGGTAAAGGTATGTACTTTTTTCCGATTCTTTTTTGCAAGTACTTCTTATTTTTTTCTGTCAGGAGGAAGTGTTTTCGGTCCTTCTTAGCATGGCTTTGGTCGCAGTGGCTTTTTGCTTCCTGGCCTATTCATCTTGTATAAGCATACTGTTACCTGAAGGTAGCATATTTACTGACTACATTACGGCGCAGTCATTCCGAACCAGCCACTACTTCGTCTGTTTGCTATCTGAAGGTATGCGCTGAAGGGGGTTATTGCGATTGGTAGGGTGTTGTCATTATGCATCCCTAGAAAAGAAGTTTAGGGCTTGCTCTCTTATCCGGACTGAAGTTGTCGACTTGTTCGCCATTCTCCGTTGAAGTTCCCAGGTCTCTTGTCGAAGTAGTGGTTGCGTGGAATATACCCATGCACAGGTTCCTTCATTCCTGTAAGTCGTTTCTTTTATTTTCATTTTTTTTGCCAAATTGTCTTACTTAGTAATATTATCTAGAAGGCCCATAAATGGTCGTAACCGCTCTGTGGCAAAAACCTTTAGAACACTCGATAAGACCAGTCGCTTTTCCAACGCACTCTCAGATCAGCCGCTTTCCAAAATGTTCCATCTTTTTCTTCGAAACTGTGTTCCACAGCTCATAGTCTCATTGTAATCAGGAATTTTTGATTTCTCACCGACTTCTCGGCTGTCATAGCCAATATCACTTTTATAATGTGAACCTTCGCATCTTACATTTTCCTTATATGTTTTATATTCTCTCTTTCAGATGTTTACACAAACTTTCTTTCATTGGGAAATGCCATCTCAATTCTAGTCTCCTTTGTTGTCAGTTCACTTTTGCATGTAAGTTCATTTTTTCTTTTTTCTATCTTCTAATTAACTCACTGGAAATCCAGTCATTAATCGTATTTCAGGGATTCAACTTTCAAATTTCCGCTGTATTATTGTCGTTAGGGTTTGCCTGTTATTTTGAAAATTGTAAGTTTTGTACTAGCTATACTCCATAAAGATGCCGTTCCACCATAAAACGTTCCATATTTCTGACGGGTTTCAGCTCTCCGGAATCGAATCTCCCGACGATTTTCCATGTGTGTACGAGCCCGACCGTGCAGAAGCTGCAATCATGAAAGGAAATCGGTATGGTCTCATTATTTTCCTCAGTGCCTGCCCTAACCTTCGAGACTTGCCTTCGGTTGGATGAGTGAGCCAGTCTGGCGTAGCTATCTCTAGGAAGATCTGGTCCTGGAGAACAAGTTTATGTTGGAACCCAATGGTTTCATTCCGTCATCTAATATGAAGACGACAAGTGGACTGAATAGTACCTTGCTTAGGCTTAGAATTCCGAATGTCTTACTTTTGTCAGTGGTGACGTCAATCAATGGTTTAGTTCACGTTTTCAGGGATCCCGGCAAACATTGCTCATAAATGTACTGTTTTTCGCCGTTGCTGTTTATCAACTAATCTACCTCGGTGCACCATTCAATGGTGAAGGAGCTGAAATCGGATATGAGATGAGTCATACGATTGCCACATGGAGACGTCATCGATTTCTCGGTCACGGTATCACTGTTATTACAGCGGTGCTTAGTTTTTGTGTTTAGACTTATTTTCATGTTTTTTTTTCTCCGAAATGTAACTGTTTTACTTTTACTCGGTGCAGAAGTGGTGGTCTTCTCTAAGACTCAAACGCTCTTTTCGCTCACTGTACTCCACTTCTTTGACTTTTTCATCGCTTCCACCATTTGGTGTGCTGGTAGAATTTTACAACCTTTGTAATCCAGCTTTGCAGTGATTTCTTCATGAATTGTAAGGTCGCTTTAAAATCAATCTCCTTTTTACATAATATGGTGATCTCTTTCATCGAATGTTGATTGTAGCTCTACGAGCAGGACTCTTTGAATTTTACGTGTTTGTTTTTATTTTCTTTTCCAGGATTTGTCAAGTTATAGGAAAAACTACACAATTTTTCCATACCAATAAATATATTTGGATGTTTTTTGTTGTTGTTTCGTGTGGTAGAATTACCTAGAGTACCTCCAGTACGCTCATTTTTATGCATATTGATTAGGGGTGTTTAATAACTCGACCAATTCGTTGCAGGGCAATGGCGGACTCCCATGAGTCGTTAATGGAAATCGAGTCGGCGCTCAATCATCTGTCAGACGAGTTGGACAAGTTTGATGCGACATGGGAGACGAATATGGCGAAGGTCCTGTCAAGTGCTGATCTGTACGATCGTGAGTTGCTGTCCGACGATGCCGAGCCGGAAATGTCAGTAACTGCGCAGATGTTGCTGGAGGAGTTGGCTGCCCGTGGTGAGGAGACCTTCACGCAGATGATAGCGCATCACAAATCTCTTCATCATCCGGTATCACAAATTGGTAAGGACATCGATAAGTCGACGCACAAAGAGATCGGCGGCTTAATTCGTAACGAAAAGGATATCGAACGGGATCCGAAAGCTGAGCGGCTTGTCAACGGAATGATTTGCGATTACCTGATGACTTGTGGACATACGAATATTGCGGAGACGCTTGTGAAGGAGACAGGCCTTGGTGGACGGATTGATGGTTATCTCGCTAACAGAAAGATTATTGATTGGATAATGGAAGCACTCAAAAATCAGGACATCGAACCAGCGCTCTCATGGTTACAACAGAATCCACATAGCGATACAAAGCTGCAGTATGACCTTTTAAAGCAGCACATGATAACGCTAATCCAGGATGGCAAGAGGATAGAGGCGTTGCGGTTTGGCCGTCAGTTATCTGCCTTTGGATACGAGAACGAAACGGCCCAGGTGATGGGCGCAGTAGCGATGGGCAAGGATCGAAATGATCCGCGATATGAAGCGCTGTTCAGCCCGTTGGCATGGCCGGTGCTCGAGTCGCGGATGTCAGTAGCATTAGCTCAAAGCGATACCCGATTTCTCAATGTCATATTAACTGGAATGCGAGCAGTACCAATTCTTGTGAATCTGAAGCAGGTGATGGTGAGTCGTCAAGATCATCTGTTCAGTGGGGAAGAACTGCCAGTTGAAGTGAAGATTGATGAGTACGTCCACTCGACGTTCACTTGTCCAATTTTGCGCCAGCAAAGTACAGATAGTAATCCACCGATGCGACTTACTTGTGGTCATGTTATATCGAGGGAAGCCGTAAGTAAATTGTGTAGCACTCATAGAAACAATCGTTTAAAATGTCCGTACTGCCCTGAAGAGTCTCACCAGAATGATGCAAAGCAGGTGTACTTTTAAAAAGGCTAACAATCTCTGAATGTCATTCTAACTTTAAGATCCCTTATTATTGTTGTACAGTTCATTTGTTGTGCATAGATGTTGTCTACTGACCCAGTTTTACTCGAATTTTTGCGAGCTTTTCATTTTTAATGTTGCATTGTTTTATTTGCGGTCGTATTACAGCTTCTCAGCTTTGTATATAGTGTTTCTGAACTCGATCATTTGGTGATAAATTTGTACATATTACATATTACTACTGTTCATCGTTTTTAATGGGTTTTGAACCCTGTCTACTTTTCTTCTGTAAATACTGTTCTTAAATGTTTTTGAAATTACAAACTTGTTTAATCAAAGGAGATACCCAGAGGTTGTATCTGATCCCTCTCCAGGGGAACGCGTCCCTCGCCGCTGATTCAATCCTAATTGTCAGCTGTCAGCTGACTTATATACGTATGAGGAAATATTATAGATTATCTCCTC